CTCTTTCGGCCAACCCATCTTCATCCAGTGTTGCACCACCTAAAGCTAGCAGGCGATGCGCTCTACTCCGGAGCAAGCCAAGCATATCAAGTGTGCCTGCAACAGTCCCGGGCTAATGAACAATGCACAAAAACAAAAGCGGCCGCCAGCTCCCATTATCTGATCTTCCGCACAGCACAAAAAGCGGCCTTCTCTGGTGCGGAGGAAGTGCCAGGAAGCCTGCAGGTGTGAGCCTTTTAAAAGAAAAGGCTCGGGCTAAATAGATTCTTTGACTGTCAGGGATTAGAGTCATGGCACTAGTGGTAACACACATCTTTCCCTTTAATTTACAAAATTTTCTCACGCGTCTGCAAGGGTTCACCCCATCGGGGGCTTGCAGAGGCCATTGAAATGTCTTAAGTTTTAATTAAGTTGGAGTTGTCAGAAGAAAGCTTTTCTGGCACGGAGTCAGGGTCATTAATTACTGCTATCTTTGTTTCTTTCTGTGAAGGGAACTCGGCTGACTTGTAGGATTACTTACCCAGCCTGTTTTCCTGCCTGCAACTCCCATTCCCTTCCAAGTGGGGCTTATTAACCAGTTTACCAATTACTTCCATCAGTTTTAGGTGCAAAGCATTTACACAATCTTAAATCTTAAAAACGCATTTCTCATTAGTGGCTTAGGGAACAGTGTTGATACCAAATTCAGTTTACCTCTAAAGATCCTTGCATTTTTCACATCATTCTCTATTCAACACACCTATTCATTTTCTCGGGGCCTGTGACTTTGCCTTTTAGTCAGGGCTAATCAATTTTAAAATTATTTACCTTACCCAGTAACAGCATTCTAGCTGGAAACATCAGTTTCACCTAATAACTTTTCAATCTGGCAAATATTTTTATTGTTTCTAGGTCAAATCGCCGACACTATCACTGATACTAAATGTGTTATATTTCTAATTATGTATGTAAAAGTTGGGAAAATCATGTTTTTTTAAATCATGAAGTTAAATTTTGATTTTAATGGTAAAGTATACTATTTGCAGATAATCTGCTTAGAAGTATCTCCCTCATGGTATATATTTAGTATGTGTCCCTTAAGTTAGACATCCTATCTCATTCTCACATCTTACAGAAAACAGCAAAATAAAACAGTGTACTTCAGATACAGCAGCAAAAATGAGTGGGATAACTGTCTCAAAAATCAGAAAAACATGAAAAGAGTAAACCTGAATCAAGACACATCTAGTTCTGTCTACCAGAATGCCTAGAATTAGTCTTTGAACTTGATAACATGTACTTTTAATAGAGGGATGAAATGGGTGGGAAAAGATTTACAAACCTGGACAAATCCAATTACCAGAATCATTTCTTTCTGATGAACACATGATGCCACTTCAAAATATTTTTTTCTAGTAATCTCAATGTCCTCTGCCATGAGTAGCAATAACAAACGTGTGACCAGCAAACAGGCGCCATCTCAGACCTGGGGCCCTGGATGCCATCGTTGGAACTCCTCATTATAACTTTAATGACTCATCATCTGATGATGATTCTCCAATGAGAAACTTCTGAGGCAGAATTTGGATTAGACTCCAGGGCTTCCACTCATTCTGGTCTAAACATGGGTCAGTTACTCTGGGTGGGAGAGGAAAATTCCCGGTTTGACTGACAGCTGATACTATCACGTCTCACAGATACAACCGCCATGTTTTGCCATTACACTCTCCTGTTTATTAAACTTGAAATGCTGCACCTGACAAAGAGGGATAACAATTTTCCTCTGGTTCTCAATAAAATTTCTAAACGCTATTTCTAATCCCCTGCAAACATATAAAAGTTAAAGTATACATGAAATAAATTAGGTAATCAAACATAGCTACTCAGTTCAATGAGTAAAATCCAAGTTTCCTTAAAAAGTAGTGAATATCTTCACACAGACTTTCAAAGCCAGATGTTAAACTGAAACTCACCTTCCAGGATCAAACAATTACAAGATCTGAAGGCTTCACTCTCCACCCTTGGTTTATGTGCTTTCCTATCACCCCAAAGGATACTAAGAGTATAAGGACTAAACCTCCAAACCACTTGTCAAAGTTCTAGAATAAAGTCAACACTTAAGAATTAAATCAGTATAAACAGAGATATATATAACATGCCAATCTTAAACTCAGAAGTGAACCAACTTGCTAATTATAAGTACACGAAAACATGTAATGCACAGATTTCTACAATAATCTGTAAGATTTTAAATCATCCAATGTCCCCATGAACTAATAAAGGTCGTCCCTAGTTTATTTGAACTTGTTAATATATCTGACTATAGTCTGAATATAACATTTCTGCACCTGGATCTAGCCCATATTCAACTTTTTCTGGGATGTCTGAAATGGTTATGTGGAGTTTAAGAAGTTAGTGGGATCCACTTTTTAACCATTCTTGCATTTCGCAAACATTTGGTGTGCGCGCTATGGCAAGCATTGGACACGGTACCCAAGATAAAACAACAAAACACAGCATTCCCCCAAGGAGCTTGTGGCCTAAGGGAGCAGGTCAGGAAACAAAATGAACAAACACAACCAGACCTATAAGGTTTCTTCTGAGAGCAAAGGAGATTCCATGGGGGTAGAGCAAAGGTCCCCAGGAGCTCGCTCTGGCAGGTCCAGCGTGCCCAGTGGACAAGCAGGAGGAAGGGCTGTCAAGGCAGATGAAACAGCATCATAACACCCACAGGAAGGGAAAGTGTGATCTAT